CCTTTAAAGGGTTCCTTCAAAGGCTTACTACAAGGGTTTTATAAGGGTCTGATATGGGGGCCTTAATCATTCAAGTCGGCCTTGACGAAGTTTAGGGAGGTTTGGGGGTTGAGGGTTTAGGGTTTGGGGCTTAGGGTTTGAGGTTTAGGGTTTAGGGTTTAGTTTAGGGTTGAGGGTTTAGGGTTTAGGCTTTAGGGTTTGGGGTCCAATATGGGGGCCTTAAGAATTAGAGTAGGGTTTGGCGGCCCATTATACCATAATTATAATAAGGAGCCCCAAAATAGTATTGGTAATTATTTAGGCCCCTATACTAGGGCTTTGGGGCTTTAGGGATTTAGGTTTTGGGGCTTCTAGGGTTTAGGCTTTTGGGAGGAGAGGTCTCTGGAAAACCGGAAAAGTGCTATAAAGGCGGTTACTTTAAAGGGTTGCTGAAAGTTGCTGAGGGAGGCCATAATGGGTCACTTTGAAGCGTTGCTGTAGTTTAGGGTTACTATAAGGGCTAAAGAAGGAGTACTTTAAGAGTACTCTTATTGTGGGTGCTATAGAGTTGAGCCTCAGCTGTTAAGGGTTTAGGGCAGAAAGTTTAGGTTCCAGGTTGAGGGTTCGCTGCCGCGAGCAGGCTTGCGGATTGAAGCTTGTCGAGGCTTCCGGGTGCCAGGGTTGCAAGGGCGTTTACACTTGACTTTTTTCGCTCTTGAACCCTAAACCCTGAACCCTAAACCCTAAACTCTAAATCCTAAGAATCGTCTCGAAAGTTCAGAGCTGTTCGCCAGCATAGTGCTTTGAGGCTGACGTTGTGTTCTACTGCGTGGGCGGTACTTGCAGCTGTTCTAGGGTTTAGAATATAGGAGCCTGAACAACTACGAATACTATTCGGGGGGCTCCTTATTATAATATTACAGTATAGTATACCCCAAAAGCCTATTCTAATTTTTAAGGCCCCTACATTAAACCCCTGTAGAACCCTTATACTAACCCTTACAGCAATCTTTTAAAGGAGCCCTATTCCAATTCTTAAGGCCCCTACATTAGGGTCCAGGGTTTCTGGGTCGCAAAGGAAGGTCAGATCTTGCTAAATCAGGGTGTCGGTTTAGGGTTTAGGGTTTAGGGTGTCGACCTTTGGCTACTCGGAATTTTCGGGGCTTGAAACCCTCGTAATGTAGGGGCCTTAATAATTAGAATAGGGTTTTGGGGGGGTTCCTTATGATAATTATTACAGTAAAATATACCCCCAAACCTTGTTCTTATTATTGAGGCCCCTATATTAGCTCTCACGCCAACTCGACAAGAATGGCGACGAAGCCCAAATCACAACGACAGTCGAACCAACAGTGATACTTATTCAGAACAGCAGGCCTCCGTGAGCCTGAATTACCCACAACCCAACAACCCCAAACATCCCCGAAGCTGTACATCTGTGAAGCACCAACCACTTGATGTAGGGCCTTTACTAGGTAGAATAGGGTTTTGGGGGTTCCTTATTATAATTATAGCGTAGTGTCCCAAAAACCCTAGTCTAATCATTAAGGCCCCTATGTTACCCCGAAGAGCCCCCCTTCATTCGGGGCGGGATGTCGCGCCTGAAACGAGCCGTCATCCGTCCGAACGAACTGAACCCTGAGCAGCGGAGCTCTACAAACGAAAGGCGCCCATTTGCGCTCTGTCTGCAGTTCAACACCCAGAGACTCAGAGACTCCAATATCCCTTAATTAAGGAATAGACCTTAAATCATATTTTAAGGATCCTACTATAATTTAGGGTATATNNAAGGGATATTGGAGTCTCTGAGGACCATGTCATGAAAAACTCATTTTGTATCACTGTAGACAAGCACCCCAGCAGAAATCCAATATGACTGAGGAAGAGGCTTGCTGGCAGTGACCTCGTTCAAGATCCGCCGCACCGCCGACCACGTCCTCGCTTTCACGGATACAGGCTTCGGAAGGCTTGATTGGCAGGTCGAAACTCATACTACGTTCTTCGGATTGCGGCTTTGAACATGATTCGTAGTTACCCCTTAAAGGGGCTCTACATGGCGACTCGGCGACTCCTAGGGGTCCTGCACAGGTCTCCTACAGGGGCTCCAGGGCGTAATGTTGGGGCCTTAAATAACTTGAATTCGGTCTTTGGGGGGGGGGGGGGGGG